TTTAGGCTACTGAATAAAAATTTCCTGCTTGCCTTAAGACTGTTTGGTTATTTGCAAGCAGTACCAAATAGGAAAAGATCGTGAAAAGTTCATGACAAATTTCTGGTTGCTCTGCAGGAACAACCTTGGTCTTCCTAGATTGGAGGGTTCCCAATGGCTCCTAAGAGTTTCCTTAACTCCAGAAGTAGAAACAGTGGGTAGCAGCAACTCAGCCTGGACTAATTCCATTAAGTTGTTAGGACTCAGGGAGGCTTGTTAGTGCTCACCCATTTGGGGGTGGGGAGTGTTCCCAAGACCATTCTACTTGATAACCTAGCTTCTCCTCCCTGGACCATTTTCTCTTTAGCCAGTGACCACTGACCAGGAAGAACTGTGACTGATAGGACAGATTTGATTCTAACTAACTGGCAACCCAAAAGAACACAGGAAATCTAAGGGAAATTTCTTGGGAAATTTTTACACCTCCATTGTGAGGTTAGACACCAAGGGAGGACACCTGGGAAGGACTAGGGATAATTGACTAGCCCTCAGTAAGGTATTAGGAACCCCTGAGCATAATGATCAATACAGGTATAGTTGCAACTTCTTTTGTGGTTTCCTTTGTTGTTGTTATCTCTATGAGTCTGGCTAAACCTCAGTGAGCAGCTGTTTCCTTTCTGCTGCTTCTTGTTCACTGATATTTGGGGGATTTCACTCCATCCTTCTTTCAGCTGCTCCTAAAACTCCACAAGCCTCAAGAGGAAAAATATAGTGTCTGACTACCAAAGCTGATAAGTATTCAGTGGCCCCTCTAGTGAGGCACTTACTACTGGAAAGTTCTCTGGCATAGCATCAATGAGGTAAGGGGCCCATAGCAGATCACCAAGCTGAAGAAATTATTTTATAAGTAATTCATGTTATATGGCTTGAAATCTCTTTAACTTGCCAGTCTCCACCTGACCTTGTGGTCACTCTCACTCTGGGATATCTGATTTGGTTCTGTTCTGATCTGAATGTGCACTTTAATCTAATCATTTTACATGTTCTTTTGTCCATTAGTATTTGATTAGTCTGTTTTTATGATAATTAACTGGATAGAAGCTAAAGGATTTGATGGCTGCAGGAAATAGTTCTATTAGAAATTTTTCTACATGAGGGTCTCCAAACTTCAGAGACAAATGCTCCCTCTGGCCCACTCTGAATGCCCCTGGGTGACTAACTCATGATAGAAGTGTCAGAGCATCTTACCTATGACATGAAGTGGTCTCACAGGAAGCCAAGTGAGAAAAAATATACCACAATCTTGGGTTAGAAGAAACTCAAACAGTTCATGTGAAAGCCAGGCATGGTGGCATTATAGGTGCACGCTTATAATCCCAATGGCTTGGCAGGTTGAGATAGGAGGATCACAAGTTCAAAGCCAGCCTCAGGAAAAAGTGAGGCTCTAAGCAACTCAGTGAGATCCTATCTCTAAATAAAATACAAAATAGGGCTGGGGATGTGGCTCAGTGCTTAGTGTCTGTAAGTTCAATCCCCAGTATCCTCCAGCCCCCCAAAATAAAAAATACAGTTCATGTGGGAGGTGTACAGAAGGGAATGATCATCCTACACATTGAGCAATCCCACACTCCCCTTGGTGTTCGGATTTTCTGATACATGTAATAGGGGATATATTTGGCTCATTGGTGATGCTCTGATTAGAAATCCCCAAAAGCAGCATATTAATGACTGCAAATATTTCCTCAGAACCAACTCTAGCTCTGGCCACCAGATAGAATCACGAATGGGGTGCTGCAGAAAAACTGAGTAGAAATTTAATTCAAAACCCAGCAAGGTAAACTGCCCCCTCAAATTCCTAGGAATACTTCTGTGAGAGTTCTATGGAAAGTCCCCTCTTTTTGACAGAAGTTTCTCCTATACTTTTTTTTTAATTTTTTTTTTTTAAGGTGTAGATGGACACAACACAATGCCTTTATTTTTATGTGGTGCTGAGAATTGAACCCGGGCCCCGCCTGTGCTAAGGGAGCCCTCTACTACTGAGCCACAATCCCAGCCCTCTCCTACACCTTTTAAGCATAATTAAGCTAATGTCCTTTTTCTGGCAAAATGCTTTTGGTTTATACACCTTGTTTAATATTTGGTTTGACATGCATGTCTAATTTTAAATTTTCTTATAAACACTTTAAGATAATTCTTAAAATTCATTATGGAGTTAAGATGAAAGAACTTTTAGCCCTCAATTTTAACTCCATTCACCTTTTGCTTATTTTAATATGATTTTATTACTCAAGATTGTTTGAAAGCTTTATAGTTAAACTAGTCCTAGATAAAAAGAAAACATGTAAGACTGCTAGACTGAGACCAAAATAAATAGACATATAAATCAATCAATTTTAAAAATAAAATAAGTTTTAAAAAAATTCTTAAACAAAACCCTGCTATTATGGAAATTGCTTTACCTGAAAATTCTGGTCCAAAGTCTACATAAGACTTGCAATTAAAAGTCTTAAAGTTTAGCTATATAAATAGATGATCTTAAATTAAAACATTTTGTTCAGCAAAAGATGTTGACTACAGATGGGAATGTAAATTAGTATTACTACAAAACTAATAAACAGAATGGAGATTCCTCAAAAATTTTTAAATAGAATTACTTCTGGAAACATACCCAAAATACCTGGAAACCAATGTCTCAAAGAGGACCTATAGGCTGGGGATGTGGCTCAAGCGGTAGCGCGCTCGCCTGGCATGCATGCAGCCCAGGTTCCATCCTCAGCACCACATACAAACAAAGATGTTGTGTCTGCCGAAAACTGAAAAATAACTATTAAAAAAATTCTCTCTCTCTCTAAAAAAAAGAGGACCTATGATCACAGTAGCACTGTTCACAATAGCTAAACCACAAAAGCAACCTAAGTATCCACTGACAAATGAAAGGATATCAAAATATGGTGTGTAAATACAATGAAATCTTATTTAACCTTAAAAAGAAAGAAAATTTTGGCATACCCTACAACCTGGATAAGCCTTGAAGACATTATGATAAATAAAATAAGCCAGTCACAAAAAAGACAAATATTAAATGATTCCACTAATATGACATAGCTAAAATAATGAAAATTATAGAGACAAAAAGAGAATGGTAGTTTCCAGAGACTATGGGAGAAAGGAATGTGGAATTATTTATTATAGAGTTTCAGTTTTATAAGATGAAAACATGTATGGAGAAGGATGGCAATGACAGTTATTCAATAGTATAAATGTATTTAATAACTCTGAACTTTATACTTAAAAAAATAAAACATGCAATAACCATACGATTGCCCATATTTTACTCCTAGGCATTTATATCAGAGAAGTGAAAATTTATACCATACGAAAATGTGCACATATATTCACAGCTGTTTAGTAATAATGACCAGAAACTAAAAACAATTCAAATATCTTTCAACAGGTAAACAGTTAAACTCTGGAATAACAATAAAAAGGAATAAACTGCTCTTATACAGTCAACTCCCAAATTGGTGGGCTCTACATCCACAAATTCAACAAACCATGGATCAAATATATTGGGGGAAAAAGTGCATATGTATTGAATATGCAAAGACTTTCTTCTTGTCATTATTACTTGAACAATATAGTAGTAAAAACTATTTATATAGCATTTTATATACACTAGATATTTTAAGTAATCTGGAGATAATCTAAAGCATTCCAAAGGAATGTGTAGGTTTTATGCAAATATTATACCACATTACATAAGAATCCTGAGCATCTGTAGATTTTGGCATCCCTGGGGGGAACTGAGACCAATCCCTTGTAGATCCCAAGGGATGAATATATGCAACAATTTGGGTGAATCTTCAAAGATTAATGAGGAGTTAAAAAAAAAAAAAGCTGAACCCCAAAGGTTATATACTATGCCATTCTACTTATATTACATTCTCAAGATGGCAAAATTTTTGAAATGAAGACTAAATTAGTGGTTGTTAGAGGTCAAATAATGGTGGTGGAAAGTTAGATTGGACAGCAGTCACATGGGCAACATGATAAATCCTATAGTGGTAGAAGGGTCCTGTATCTTGATGGTCTCAGTATCAATATTCTGATTGTGATATTATACTATAGTTTTATAAGATGTTACAACTGGAAGAAATTGGGGGGGGGAAGTACAAGGGATTTCTCACAACTAGTTGTGAGTTTATATTATCTCAAATGATATAATTAATTTGAAAAACTGAGATGACACTAAAGCAATTAGGAGGAAATTTATAGTACTATAGGTACACAGTAGAAAAGAAGAAAATTCTCAAATTAATGATCTGTTTCTACCTTGAGAAACTAAAAGAATAAGATCAAATTAAACCCAAAGTAAAAGAAAAAAAGATCGAATCAAAAATTAATGAAATAGAATATAGTAAAACATTAGAGAAAAAGCAATGAATCTAAAAGTTGATTCTTTTTTAAAGAATCAGTACAATTGATAATCTTCTAGCCAAGATGTGATCAGGAAAAAGAAAATACAAACTACCAATAACAGGAATTTAAGAAAGGACATCAATACTAATCTCAAAGACATTAAAAACATGTCAATAAATTTGATTTTCGGATAGTTACTCTTTTTGTTTGGTGGAGGGCATATCAGAGAAGTGAAAACTTACATCAGATGAAAATGTGCACATATATTTATAGATAGTTACTCTTTTTGTTTGGTACTGGGGATTGAACCCAGAGGCACTTAACCACTGAACCATATCCAAAGTCCTTTTTATTTTTTGAGACAGGGTCTTGCCAAGTTGCTGAGGGCCTGGCTAAATTGCTGAGGCCTCTTGAATTTGCAATCCTTCTGTCTCAGCCTCCCAATTCCCTGGGATTATAGGCGTGCACCATAGTACCTCATAATAGTTATTTCTAAAGAAGCAATAAATTTTATTTAGACATAAATATTTCTCTTACCTGAATGTTTAAGAACATTTAATTAATATTAATGTAGGTAATAATGAACCAAATATTAAGGATACATTCGTATAGCACCTGTCCTTGTCCCAATAGCTAAGATTTTCTGAACTGGATCAAAGGCCAACGAAGTGGGCTGATAAGGAAAACCATGCCGAACAGTCTGAAAGAGAGCAAATAATACAGTAATGACAAAAATTAAAAACTAAAATGATAACAAGATAAACAGCAACCAGAATGACTAAACTTATTTTTAAAGGAAAAAAAAAAAAACTACCACTAAATGTTGACAAGGATATAGAGTAACATAAAATCTCATACACTATTAGAGGAAGTATAAAGAATGTCATTTTACACCACTTTGGAAAAATATCTTGCAGTTTCTTATAAAACTAAACATATACCTAGTCCATGACCTAGCAATTCCATGCCTATTGTATGCACCTAGAAAATTTAAAAATGTTTCCACAAAATGACTTATCTAATTATATTTCCAGCAGTTGTATTTATAATAGTAAAAAAAAATGGAAATAGCCAAAATGTCCAAAATAAAACAAAACTGTGGTATGATAATTTAAAAAAACATATGATATCCTCATATTGTAAACTACTACTCAATAATTAAAAGATATAAACTACTGATAGATGCAAAATGTGAATGATTCTTCAAAGCATTATGCTAAATAAAAGTAGCCACTCACAAAAGAGTTTATATAGTAGGATTCCATTTATATATAATAAGCAAAACAAATCTATGGTGAAAAAAATCAGAATACTGGTTACTTTGAGGAGAACTGACTGGAGAGTGGTACAAAGGAACTTAATTGAATGAAAGTAATATTCAATATTTTTGATAGAGGTTTATATTACAAAAGTGTATATGTTGGTCAAAACTTATCAAATGATACAATAAAATTTGTGATTTCCCTGTATGGTAGATTGTTCTTCAAAAAGAGTTAAGAAAAAGTAATGTTATGCATTCTGAAGTGTTAAATTGTACTGACATTTGCAAGCTGAAAATTCATCTCCAAAATACAGAGAGATGAAAAGAAGAATGAATAGATATGTGATAAATACAGCAAAATGAAACTTGTCAAATCTAGGTGGTGAGAATACACACATGAGAATTCACAAGTTCTTTCGACTTTTCTGATGTTTGAAAGTTTTCATATTAACACAAAAGAAAAACATAAAAATATAAGGAACTCATTAAGGAAAAGACATATGAGAAGGAACATGTAATGTTAGAAATATTTTCATTTTAATATGGAATATGCTGTATCTTTTCAAAGGGTAGAAGACTCAGGTCAGAAGAGGACAAATTCTATATACAGTTCATCTATGTATCTGGTGCTCCCAGAATTGTTTCCTAGTTGAAATGTTGTGATAGCAAAATGCTACACTTGTAAGTATTCAAGATAAAAAAAAAAAATCAACCACAGCATGTAGTTAATTTAAAACTCTTCCCCTGAGAAAGAAAAGCATAACTCCCTCCTTTTTATAGAGCGTACAAGAACATGTATGTATATACTACATAATATATACATGAGGTTTAGATTACATGATCCATGATCATGATCTGTTTTTTTCACTCAACGTACTTTCACAAAAAATGTGTAAACGTGTAACCTATTATAATATGAATATTTCATAATGTTCTTAAACAATCAACTACTGTTTTAGAATCAAAGAATTTTCAAGTAAACTGGTGCTGACAAAGGCAGTCTCATACAGTCTTTTGACACCCATTTGGCTGCAGGAGAATACATTGTACCTGGAACACTTCCTTACCAAGAGATAAAATGTCTACATGGTCTGTGCTTAGCTCATTGCCGTGTGTGGGAATAACTTTCTCTGTTGCAAGCCCAATTTATGCTCCTTTGTTCTGCTAAAGCACGTGTATCACATGGCATGCAGCCAACTCCACTGCTCTATCTATTCTACATAGAGTGTGAAAGAGGTCCTTCTAGGCTACAAAAGGATACAATAACTAAATATCCTATATTAGCTGCTGGGAGACACCTGCTGGCCATAGAGAACTGACATACATCATTAAAGCTGACAAGAGTGTTTTGAATTCTGCTAGGCAGTTGGTAAAAATACCATTTTTCAGTTGTGACTCGTAACTGAAATATTTACTTCTTGATTCTGACATAGTTTATTTCTGATATAGATTTAGCAACATGAAATTGTCAAGAGGAAGAGATTCATACTTTTCTTACAGAGCACTGTGGATTACAAAAATCAGAATACAGTTCCTCTCTAAAAACACAAAAGGTCAGAACACTTTCCAACTCATTCAATGAATGATGAGCCAATATTAGCCTGATTTAAAAAAATAAAAAAGCAGGCAAAGACATGTTGAGAAAAGAAGACTAAATACATATAACTTTTATTAATATAGATGCAAAATACTATCAAATGGATTCTAGTAACATGACTTGTTGAGATTTATCTCAAGAATGAAAGACTGGTTTAACATTATTTTTTTTATTTTTTTTATTTGTTCTTTTTAGTTATATATACAGTAGAATGTATTTTGACATATCATTCTAACATTCTAACATTGAAAATCATAAATACAGTAGAATGTATTTTGACATATCATTCTAACATTGAAAATTTAATTAATGTATCAATAGAATAAAGGACAAAGATCACTTGATCATATCAACAGATGCAAAAAGGGAATTTCAGAAAATTCAACATCCTTTCTCATATTAAAACACAATTGATGAAATTGTGGAGAATCTCCTCAATCTAATAAACAGTATGTACAAAAACCTATAGCTAACATCATACCAATTACTGAAAGAATTAATGCTTTCTTTCTAAGGTTAGGAAACAGATAATTATATGCACTCTCGCCACTTCTATTAAATATTGTATTGAAAGATCTATTCAGAGCAATTAGATAAGAAAAAGAAGACAAATCGAGATTGGAAAGAAATAAAAGTATTTGTATATGACAGAATCTTGTATATACACAACCCCAAGAAACACACTAAAAATTTGGAACTAATGAAGGAGTTCAGCAAGAATGATTATACAGAACTACTATGTAAAATCTTACAGTGAATTCCACATTTATGTATATTTATAAAACACCAATTAAAAAATAATAAAATAGAAGGAAGACCAATAGAATAGAAGAAGAACAGGGGGAGAGAAGAGGGGAGGGAAACAGGAAGTACTGGGGACTGAAATGGAGCAAACTATATTCCATGCAAGTATGATTATGTTGAAGTTAATCCCACACTATTATATATAACTATAGTGTATAGATAAACACATTTTAAAAAAAATTAAAGTCAATTGTGAGACCCGTTGAGGATATTTGTACTGCCAATGACAAAATATGGTTTAGATTTCCACTGTTACTCATTTATAATTAATACTTTTGTTCCATTCAAAATTCATATTTTACACTACTTTTGTTTAACAGCTAAATGAATCTGTTTCGAGCATGTCTCTTAGATCCATGTTCCTTAAATTCCTGAAAGTTGCTTAGAAAACATATGTAATTTAAAAATTATTCACACAATCATTCATTCAATGAAGACATTATTTATTGATAGTTGCACACGATACTGTTCATGATCAAGCATTCCATCAATATTAAGAGAAGAAAAATGACATTATTGTTCTCAGATGTAGAGAAAACTTGAGTTGATTTAACTAATTCAAAGCATTTTTATTAAAACTATTTCTTGATTGGTCAAGTAGCAAAATTAGGAGTAGAAACTCAATTCTTTCTCATAAGGATATTGTATGATTTTATGAGGACTTCATATAAAAATGAAATTTTAAAAACGAAATAAGATAATTACATTTCCAAAAAAAAACACCCAAAGTAGTGAAATATTTAAGAATAAGTGTAGAATTTGTGCCCTAAAAAGTATTTTAAAACTGAAAAATATTAAAGAAGATCTAAATAAAAGGAAAAGAATCCCATATTAAAAGACTTAGTATTGGTATAGTGGTAAAACTGCCCAAACTGATCTTCAGAATCAAAGCAATCAAAATCCCAGCTGGCTTTTTTGCAGAAATTGAAAAACTCACCCCCAAATTCATAAGAATATTCAAGAGATCAAGAATAGCAAAACAATCTTCAAAAAACAAAGCAAAGTTGAAGGACTCATGATTTTTTGGTTTCAAAACTTATACAAATCTATAGTAATCAAGAAAATAAGGTACAAGCATTAGGACAGACATATAGATCAATGAAACATAATCAAGATTCCAAAAATAAATCCTCATATTTTCAATAGTTTGACAGAGAACAGTGCCAAGACAACTCAATGAGAAAAGAATAGTTTTTCAGCAAATGGTGCTTCAACAACTGGATATCTACATGCTAACAAAATAAGTTGGACTCCTTACTTGTGCATGATGTTTTTATATATGTCTACACTGTGGAATGCTAGGCAATGCTTTATTAAATATGACACCCAAAGTCCAAAACAAAAAAAATGACATTGAAATTTTTTCAAATTAAAAAGTTTTGTGCTATAAAGGATACCACAAAGAGAGTGAAAGTGAACAACTCACAAAATAGGAAAAATATTTGCAAATCAACAGCCTGAAAAGAAACTCATATCCACAATGTATAAAAACTCTGATAACTCAATGATAAGCACAAAAATAATTCATTTTAAAAATGGCCAAAAGATCTCAAAAAGATTTGTATGCAAACAATATATACAAATGATAAGCATATAATAAGATACTCAATACCATTAGTCTTTAGGAAACTGCAAATCTTGTCTACAACAATAAACTGCATAAAAACTAGAATGACTATAATCAAAAGACAGATATATTAACACATGTTGATGAAGAGGTGAAGAAACTGAACTAATACATTTCTAGTAGAAATGTAAAATCATGCATCCTCTTTGGAAAATAGTCAGTCCCTCAAAATGTGAAATTAGTTACCATATGATCTAGCAATTCTGCTCTTAGATATAAACTCAACAGAAATGAAAATATAAAATATAACAACATGAAATGTTAAAACGTACATTCATAACATCCAAAAAGAAACAACTCCAATGTCCTTCAACTGATTAATAAACAAAATGTGCTTGTGCTATATCCATAAGAGGGAATATTATTCACCAATAAAAAGGAATGACAGGGACTAGGGGTGTTGCTCAGGGG